GTATCCTACAAAAATTTCGTTATTAATATGTATTATTCTTACAACATGGTAAATGATTTGATTCATTTTGTATATGGCCCTTAGATAATGAAATTAAGTTTACTCACTCAAAATCAGTTTGTGTGTATTTTAAGTAACGTGCGGCAAATTACATAATAAGGTGGTTGTTGTACTCGAATTTATTGTTGAAATGTATTAATTTTGCATGTAAGTGTTGTGACGTGGGTGGTTGAACGATCAAAAGTTGGTGTATAGGGGTTACACAGGACAGTGGAAAGTGGGAGTGAAAGATTTTCTAGAACCGATCGATGTATAACCCAAATCGGTCGACCGGTATCTTCACAGTATGTTTGAGCATTTCACGTCCCTAACCAGTCGATCGGTATCCCAAACCAGTCGACCGGTATCTATTGGAACTTATATCCCGAACCAGTCGACCGGCTAACCAGTCGATCGGTATCCCAAACCAGTCGACCGGTATCTATTGGAACTTATATCCCGAACCAGTCGACCGGTATCCTAAACCAGTCGACCGGTATCATGGCAGTGTGTTTTCCTAGTGTTCATATCCCAAACCAGTCGACGTATAAAGAGTATACATCGACCGGTTTTGCCTTTTCATGTAATTACCAATTTAAGTTCTTAAAATTACACTTTGGCATCATTTAAAGTTGAAATTAATTATTTTTATGACCCAATTAAATGCAATAATTATATTTTTTTTGCCCCAAAAGGACTATTTTACCCCGGACTTCATTTTAATTATTGTGTGATGCACGTAAATGACTATGACGTCATTTGGGTCTTAATTTATTGAAATATGGCAAATTACCATCTTACCATTTTTGGAACTCAACATTTTAATTTAACGTGAAATTACCGTTTCACCCTTGGATGTTTTTGGGTCGGATTAGGACCCGTTTAATGATCCGGATCCATGAGGAGCTGGGTCGTTACAGTACTGGTGGGGTTGGTGGAAGTTCGTGGTACTGGTGGCGATGGTGGAGGTGGTAGTGGTGGAAGGTAGTGGAGGCGGCGATGGTGTAGCAGTTGAAGGCGGCAACAATGATGGCAGTGGCAATGGTGGTTATGGAAGGCAATGGAGGTGGCGATAGTGAAATGCGGAGGTGGTTGTGGTGGAAGGTGGTGGTGGTGGTGGTGGAAGACAGTATTATTGGTAACGATGGTGGTGGTTTTTGGACTTAGAACATGAGGGTTTTTTGGGAAGTTAAATTTTTTTAAAAAAATTAGGGTAAAGTACATCCATACCTCCTGAGGTTTGGCAAAAGTACAGATAGATGAAAGTTACTCATTTTTTGGACAATGACACCCCATTTTCTAAAATTTCACCCAAACAAGGCCTTAAATCATATGAAAAGACAAAATTACCCCTCAATATTAAATTAAGATATATTACAAAATATCAGACCTTGCATATGACACAATAACCCTAATTCATTTTTTTTCTTCTTCTCTTCCTATCACACTGTTCACACCATCTATGCCTCCATTGTCCAAGTTATTAGGGAAAAATAGCCTACAATATAAACTACTTACTAGCTCCTCATCTTTTTGACAACTTAATTCATATCTTCAGCGATGACGCTCTCCGCCTAAGAGGTTGTACAATCTGGTGAGATCATATCGATCCATCTGTAAGTACAAAATAACATTTGTAGTGTTGAAGGAAGTTGCAAGCTAGGGGTAAGAAAAATATTTAGATCAATAACAAGATGGTACGGTGATGGAAACCTTAATTTAAGTAATACATGTCATGGTACCAATAAACAACAAATCAATGGAATATTAGAAAATATTATCACTGCAGATAACTATATGCTTCCAATGACATGAGATGGCAAAAGAGGAAGAGAAGTATATCATTTTCCTTTAAAGCATCAAAATTCATTACCCACGATGTTCAATTGCAAAATTCTATATATAAAATTAACAAACCACATGCCTCTTGTGACCCTTATATTTTCATGCTTCAATTTGATATTCTATTGCCATGTATATATCAGACTAATCAATATATATGTTTTTGGATATATGTTCTAATTGATTTCATGTATTGAAGACGACATAAAATTTGCACCCGCCTTAAAAACATATATTTCTCAAAAAGATGTCCTATTGATTTCAATTTGATACTCTAATGGGTTACCAGACATGGCTGATACAGATGGTGAAATCGACATAATTAAACGCATATTTCTCAAAAAGAAAGCTCTCATTGTTGTTCATGACGTAAATAACTAGATAGGCTATCTCACAGCTGCTGTAGGGTTTCCTTTAGCCATTGAAATAAAAAGGGTTTGTTTCTATTTGACAAATAAAGGTGCAAATGGTCGGTCTCGGCTTGCCAGAGCTAGAAAAGGATTCGGACTTGGATTCAAGATCATCATGCGAGCTGGAATCAAACTCAGAATCTGTTGAGGAACATTTTGAATATCAATATACATACATACAGAGATAAAGGGGGAAGGATTTGGGTTTGGGTTTAATCTAAGGATATTTAAGTCAATTAAAATATTAATTTTATATCAAAATATAATTAAGTCAATTCACTATTGTCAGGATCTTTTTGTCCATTTTTCAAAATTGAAGATGTGTCATTATTCAAAAAATAAGTAACTTTCACATATGTATCTTTTTACTAAGCCTCAAAGGGTGTGACTGCATTTTATCCAAAAATTTATTTATAAATGTAATAACTATTCCATAAGTTTAATTGTGGAATGAATTTTTATTCTTAGAAATAATATTCATTCTAATGAAATAATCATTCACATTTTAATTGCATAGTAAACAAAAAATTTAAAATATTATTATTATTATTATACTATCACTTTAACATTTTTACATAAAATTTATCAAAAGTAAACTATCACAGTATTCTGTAAACCCCACTATGAACATTTTGAGAGTCCAATAAATCATTCTAGACCTTAGGATGCATAATTGTAGATCGAACGGCTACCATCCGTCAGCAACCATCAAATTTCGCAGAGGGTATCTTCAACGTGGGACCCTACAAGATTGGTCGGCTGTCATTTCCATCAACTTGACGTGTACCTCAGGTTTCCTCACATCTCACTCTCAAATGTATGTGCAAGTCCAACCTAATTTGGCTTAGGCCAAAAAAATGATACAACCTAATACTAGTATGCACTTCACAAATCCTAATTTTAAATCAAGTAAATATTTAATTTTATTATCAATCAAGACATTTAAGATTTAAGAGCATTTTTTCATTCCATTCCTACGTATCAAATACTTCATTAGTATGGATGGCTCACCCCCACAATTCTTACATTACTTTTCATATACCAAAGCATCATATTTTGGTGGAGTTGACATAAATGGTGACTATATTTAATTTAATAAACAAAAATGGTTAGTGTGATATTAGAGGAAACTACTAAAAAATGTATCACATTTACTTTCAGAAGAATGTTACATATTGATATACAACCATTTATTCTTTCTAATCATTAAAGCCTAAAAAATCTAATTATATATGCTCTAACTCGTTTTGAAAAACTTAACAAAAGTTGTATTAGTGGTACAAAAACATATTCAGTTTAAAAAAACCTAAAAAAATTCAATAATAATATAAAGTAATTTTAATAATGAAAACAACTTAAAATTCTTTGATAAGTCATTTCGTTTACTAAATGATCTTAAAAATTTTAATAAAATTAATCAAAATTCACTAAAAATCTATATTTATTGAATTATATTATAAAAACTAGCGTATCGGTGTGTTTTATTTACTATGTGCAAGTTTGAAAAAAATCCACAACTGCAATAATTGATTTTGTTATGTGACGTCGAAACAAGCCCGTCATTACATCGCAATTGCAAACCTTAGTTTGTAGTTAAAAATGTGACTCCAGACTGTAAACATTTTTCTTTTTATTATATTTTATTTCAGTGTATATAAAAAAATAGAAATAGGCTTTTGTAGTAAAAAAGTCAACTCTCTAAGCAAGAGTTAATTTTTTTTTGTTTCCTTTTCTATTTGAAGTGTAAATAAAAAAATAAAAGAGGTATTGTACCGTTGATGAGCTGAATTTAATATATATATATATATGTGTGTGTGTTATTAATTCATATTATATACTTTTGAATTGTTGAAGATGTTTCTATTTAAGATGGTAACTTTTGAATGGTTGTGACTCTCTAAACAAGAGTTAACTTTTTTAAAATTTTGGATGGTTGAAGACATGTCTATTTAAGATGGTAACTTCTGAATGGTTGTGACTCTCTTAGCAAGAGTTTACTTTTTTTTTCTTTCTTCTTTGCTATTTTGAAGTGTAAATAAAAAAATAAAAGAGGTTTTGTACCGATGATGAGCAGAAGTTAAAAAAGAAAAAAAAAAAAAATCTGTTATTAATTCATATCATATACTTCTCTTGTGTCTCACAAATACATATCTATTATTCTATTAACTCTGACACAACTTTATTTGAAATCCACGACTTTGTTTCTTTATCTAAAGTCGATTATTTTGTTTCACACGTTTATATATTTTGAACAACGGTTACTATTCGAGATAATACAAAATATACCACCTTAAGTGATAGGGATTATAAGTAACACGTATCAATTTTTTCTCAAAAGGGTAAAAATAAAATCTTTAAGACATAACATAACCAGTCTATATATCGTGCCTTAAAAAAAATTAAACATGGTAATTGGTATGTGAATTCTCTCTCCTGTATGTTTTAGAGTCCGTGTATGATGATATATGCTTCGCAAACATGGCTAAACATTAAAAAGAAAGAAAACATCATATTTTAATTTTAAGTTGAAGATGTAACACCTTTGTATTTAAAAAGGAAACTCTTTAAAAGTGGTTTGCAGTTAAAATTTTCTCAGTATGCAACTTTGCTGAAAAGTAACGGTTTTTTATTTTTTTTTTTATTTTTAAAACAATTAATTTAAATATATAAATATATTTAAAAAATGAACACACAATTCTACAAGGGATGTAGAAATATATTGCGGTATCCTTTAGGAAAAAAAAATATATATTGCGGTATCCTCTCCATACCTGCATTCTATTTCTCCTCCAATGTGTCCTCCGTTGTTCACTAGGACTTTCCAAACAACTTTCCCAGCACATAATTGGGCATATCAAGCACAAAATTGAACACACATCATCAAGCACAAAATTGAGCATATACAAGTTATACAACCTTCCCAACAAGAATCTGAAATGATAAATACAAAGAAATGATTAGAAGCAACGAGGGAAAATCCCTTACCACCTACCTAGAGAGAGAAATTGTTGTCTTCCATACCTTCTTGTGTTATATATGTGTTTGGCAGATCCGGTATTTGTTCAAGAGATGTGCACCCTTTGACATCCAGTACCTCCAAGGCTTCCAAAGCCTCAACACCTTCAATCTCACATAAACTCGTGCATTTTTTGAGGTTTAAGCTTCTCAACATTTTCAAGTTTGACAGATTGGGTAATCTTACCATGGATTCGCAACCATACAAATTCAAATCTTCCACTGAACCAATCTATCTAGCCCTTGGATCTTAGTGAGATTTTCGCAACATTGAACTGATAACTTGTTTAAGTTGGATCCAACTGATTGATTTTCAAGGTATTTGTACTCGCTCATCTCCAAGGACGAGGATGACGATAGAGATGCAGAACATGATGATAGAGATGCAGAACATTCAAGCAAATCAAGTTCAGTTATTTCATTGCACTCGTATATCTCCAAAGATGTCAATGATTCTAGATTTCCTAACCCTTGAATCACTCTCAGTGTGTGGCACTCACCTATTCTCAATCTTTCAAGAGATTTTAGTTTCCCAAACAATTGTACCTCTTTAAGAGTGTGGCTCATCTCCAAGGATGAGGATGATGGTAGAGATGCAGAACATTCAAGCAAATCAAGTTCAGTTATTTCATTGCACTCATATATCTCCAAAGATGTCAACGATTCTAGATTTCCTAACCCTTGAATCACTCTCAGTGTGTGGCACTTACCTATTGTCAATCTTACCAGAGATTTTAGTTTCCCAAACAATTGTACCTCTTTAAGAGTGTGGCAACCATATATGCACAAAGTTTTCAATGATTCTAGTTCCCCAAGCCCTTGAATTTTCATCAGCTTACAGCAAGAGACAAAACTCAATCTCAACAAAAATTTCAAATTTGACAGATCGGTCAATCTTTCCAATAATTCACAATTTTCAAGCAATAATTCAACCAGAGTAGAAGGTAACCCTAATATGTATTGAAGATCATGACATGCAATACTGAGAAATTTGAGCTGACAAAGGGCACCAATCCCTTTGGGTAGGATCCTAATGTTGGTACTACTCAACTTCAATGTCTGCAGTTCGGATAACTTCTCAATATCTCTAGGGAACTTCACATCCTCCCTCAAGCAGTCAAACTCCAGTTTCTGTAAATTAACTAGATTTGCAACATTATTGGGGGTAACCCGCAAATATCTATACTGGGACGCGTAGGACTTGACTTTGAGAATTTTTAGACTTGAGGGAAGGTCTGGCACTACTTCGAGCTTTTCACAGTAATCTAAGTCAAGGGTTTGGAGGTACAAGAGGTCGCAAATGCTTGTTGGTAGGCTTTGAATTTTGGTATGACAAAACCTCAAGTGTCTCAAAGATGATGATCTCCCAATACAACTGGGGATGTTACACTTCAAATCCCGACAATACGAGGCATCTATAACTTCCAACTTCTTCAACATCCAAATTGCATCAGGTAACTTCTTTATTTTAGTCTCCGAAATGTTAAGCTCTCTCAAATTATCCAGATTACCAATGGACGGGTCAATTTCGGCCAATTTCGAACAGCATTCAAGAATCAATATCTCCAAACTTGCAAAAGATGAAAAGTCGGGAGTTCTCCTTAAATCACAATTTGAAAGATTCAGAACTTTTAACTTATTTGCCACCTATAAAAAATATATATAAAGATCAATTTACAAAACATATAAGATGGGAAACTACAAATGAAAGTAGGTTGAAATATTTCACAAACCTTGATTTGACTCCAAGCCTTCCAGTTCTCTGTGATGGGACTATTTGTTAGGTCAAGAATAACTAGATTATTCATGTGAAAATTGGTCGCTTTGAAATGGCTAGGGCAGCGATGCCAACGAAGCCATCTTAATTGTGACATAAGACGCTTAAAATCCCCAACAAGTTTAACGCCATTCATACGGAGATACCTTATATTAACAAGTTCTGTGAATTCCTTACTCGTATAAGGTATTGTAGGAGGTATGAAATCATCATCTATGATCTCATCATTTGTTAACTCTTCAGTCAAGTAATCAAGACTTAGGACCTCAATCTTTTCTGTTCCCTGTCAACAACAAACCAAACAGTAAGTAAATATGGAAGAACCAATTTGTGAGGTGCTAAAACAAAAAGAATTACGTTTATTAGAAATTAATTGAAGTTAAAAAGAAAAAAATACATATTTTTAGTGAAATATTACCCTACATTCCTTCAGTACCTCCCCTGCTTCCTTTTGATCCCACAACCTGCTACGTGCTCCTGGATTCCCGAGATTTTCTTGACGAACGATTTCCCTACCAAGACCTCTAAGTTGATCATGCATCCTTAGCACATTATCAGCTCCCATTTTTACTAGAGACATGAGACGAAGGTCGTAAAGGTTCTTCTCTGGATAATAGCCACAGCTTCCCCACATGTAAGATGCATAAGTTTTTTCCATCCCTCTAAAAACACATGCAATATCCAGAAATATCTGTTTTTGCTCATGGGTTAATTCATCATAACTTATTCTTAACTTTTTTTGGACTTGATCATCTGGTATTTTCTCCAACTTCTTCAATGTAGCTTCCCATACCTTTTTCGGCTTGTCAAATAAATACGAACCTATAACCTCAAGAGTTAGAGGAAGCCCTGCAGCTGTGGATGCAACTTCTCTAGAGATGTTGTCCATGTCTTCTGGAGGAGACTCCCTTTTGAAAGCATGAATGCTTAACAGTTGAAGAGATTGCTCGAGGTCCAAAAATTGTGGCTCGTAATCCTCATCAACTTGAACAGAGTTTAGAACATGTTTGTTTCTAGTTGTGACTATGATCCTACTTCCTTTACCATACCAATCACGCTTTCCCACAAGGCAATCAAAGTGAGACTTTTCATTCAAATCATCAAGAACAATGAGAACCTTATGTCTCAAGAATCTTTGTTTTATCTCATTAATTCCACTATTAACATCACTGATACTGTCCCCACGCAAATTTAAGGTGTCCTTGAGAAGCTGTTTTTGCAGGCTAACAAGTCCCATGTATTGTTGTGCTTTTTCTCGAATATCGGTAAGGAAGCTACAACATTCAAAGCACTGGAAGAGCTTGTTGTAGATCCACTTTGCAATAGTTGTCTTGCCAATACCTCCCATCCCGTAGATACCAACAATCTGTGTATCATTAGAATCAACCTTTAATAATCTCATCATTTTGTCTACATTATCATTGATTCCAACCAAGTTGTCAGTTAAAACCATGCATTTCTTCTTTAACTCTAGCAAGACTGTTCGAACAACCATCATTACAAGTTCCCCTAGATGCCTGATTGATATCAAGGTAAAAAAAAAACCGGAGAAATAATTAGTAGTAGAAAGATGATGATTTCTATTTATGACCATCAATGTGATTGATTTAATGTATAGTTATTTTTTTTTTAAAAAAAAAAAAATCAATCAATTAATACTTATTTGAAGATATTTCAAGGACTAGCTAGTTGATGTACCAAACCAATCATCTTAAAATTCTTATTATATTTTTGTTCGTTTGGACTGCCAAAAGGCCAAAAGGGTGTCTTGACATAATTTTTGACTCAACAAGACCCTATTCTAATTGGAAATGGCCCAACTCGCATAAGTCAGCAACTTTAGTGCTGATCTAGAACATTTTTTTGGCCAAATTCTATCATTTAGGCTCCACAATTTCGATTTCCCAATTTAAATATTTTTAAATTTTAGTTAGACATCTAAATGGATTCAAATTCCTTTAAGTTTGGGTAATTAGTAGTTTTCAGTAATTAAGTTTCTCACCTTATTTTAAAGAAATTTCAGAGAAATTAAGTTTTTATTTATTTATTTATTTACTTTTTGCTGTTAAGGGATTGTAAATAAATGTACTGCAGAAAGTACAAATTATTCATTGATTAATAATACATCAGATTGATATGCAATTTTCTCTTAAATTTTTTAATACAAAGTTGTTCTTTTATTCATTATTGAATGTTCATAGCTTCCACTCCATCAATCGGGTGTTAGAGCCTTGTCTTACCCTAAACTGATGGTTGATGAACAAGGTGGTGGCAAGCTCGTCGGCAATCGACAGGGAGTGGCTCTTTTAAGGGTCGAATTTGATGATTTCTAATGTGAAACCTGACAGGCGTTGCAAGATTATAGGTTGGTTCTAGAAATTACTTTTATTCATTGCGCTCAGCGAGGAATAAAGTAATACAGCCTATGAACAATCTACCTTCCATTCCAACAGTACGTGATTCGGGTAGTACACAGTTGAATAATGCAATAACAGTTTATGTAATGGGTCAGAAAGTGCCTAAAAATATTCCTTACAATTGGCCAGGCCAAGATAAGTGTTACTGTGTTAGTGATGCAGACAGTTAGCACATTGATCTAACCAGTGTCCTAAGAGTAGTGCAGAGCCTGAGGATGTAGAGGATCAAGGAAAGATGTTGAAAATGGATTGCTTTCCTACGATGATGAAAATGATGTGGTTCGTAAAGATTTGTGTGTGTGTGGGTTGTGTGTGTGTGTGTGTGTGGGGGGGGGGGGGGGGTGTATCTGCTTTCACATTCCCTAGTGTGCGAAGGTTGCTGCTATCCCCTAAAAAAGAGGAACATCCATAAGGCACAATATATTCTGGACGAGGTGTATAGTCAATATAAAAGTCTGCAATGTTATTATTGATACTTGCAGTAATGAGAACATTGTGTCAAGGATGATGGCCCAGTAGCTAGGGCTGAAAAATAGAGAAGAATCTGAGTCCCTATAAAATTGGCTAGAGTCAGAATGGGGCAGAACTAAGAGTGTTGGATATTTGTAAATTTAACTTTTTGATTTGAAAAAAAAATGTTGATGAGGCATTATGTGACGTGGTTGATATGGATATAATCACATGATTCTGGGTAGTCCATGGCAATTTGGTATCGATGCTACTCAAAAGGGCAGAGACAATGTTTATTTATTTGTCAAAGGTGGGAAAAAGATAATCCATGACAGAAGGTAGTTTTTCTAAGGCTTCTCATGCTAAGGAATAATTATCCTTTTGATTTGTAGTTATCAGAAGTTTTTGGAGGAGATCAAGGAGTCCGGTGAGATTTTGGCGTTGGTTGTTGGAGAAGACAAACTCCTTCTATTGTCCCAACAGTTTACAACTCATGCCTAAAGAGTTCAAGGAGTTTTTTTTAGGTGATCTCCCTAGTGGGCTATGCGAGGCATTTTGCACCACATTCATCTTGTGTCTAATAAACTCTATCTTGAGCACCTTTAATAAGCTAACAAGTCGAGTTTGAGTTTGATTTTTAAGCTGTTTTGATAACCAAGTTGTGCTTTAAAGACTGATGCCTACTCATTAGACTTGCAAACACGTTCATAAATGAGTTCATTAAACAGACTTGTTAGGGTTCCTAAACGTTACTTGTATGTTAAGAATTGTTTAGAATTTTAATCGAATTTTCCCCTTAGTAATCATAGTTCAAGCTCACGTTTGAAAATGATACGAGATCAAGCTCAAAATCGGCACACTGAGGCAAACATATCGAGCTCCATGAAAAATATTTGAGCCAAGTTCGGAAACTAATATCTTGGCTAGAATTGAGTTCCAGTTAGAGATTGATCAAAAAAACAAAAACATATTCTCAGACAAAAACTCGATGCATTTGCAATCTTCTGATAATCATGTTTTCGACAAGTTAAATATGTATGCTAGGTGCATGTTTGACAAGACCACCGGATGCTTAGTTTAGACAAATCTTAGGAGAGTTGGAAAGTTCAAGCTTCCATTCATACCGGCCAAACAAGATAATGTTATTTCATGGCTTTTTTTTTTTTTTTTTTATAACTCAAATAGGCCACCCAGACACCCACTTGCCTCTATTAGAACTTGAATTTTGAATGTTGTACGTTAAAAGGTGAAAAAGTACCTTTAAGTTACAGCCTTTGGTATTACGTGTCTATATTTTGGGTGTTCAAGAATACTAATTAGTAGAAAGAGCATGCACTCTCTTTTGAAGTAAATTCAAAGGAAAATGACTCGTTTGGTCACTTAAAGGATACCTAATGGCCTATTTTAAATTCCTTAGTTCAAGGCAAAGATTGTGAAACGTGATATTCTAGCTAAACTCTCACCATTCCAATACAATTATGTTGTGTTTGGAAGTATCGAATAGGTCTCAGCGATACCAAATCGATTCTTGTTTCACTTCTTTCATATATTCACGTTTTATAAATCCAGTCAAGGCTCTCTAACGGCTAGCAAACCAATGGTGTTCATAACATATATTTCATTAATACATATACAACAATTAATACTGTATTTCGACAACTAGTAAACCAATCCTCAAAATAACTATCTGTTGAAAAGGTAAGATTCGGTAGTAATACTACCAAATATTATTAGCTGTAAATATAATATTTGGAGGATATTTACTGTAAATAGAATATTGGTCAAATATTGTAAATTAGAAAATTATTAATTAGGCCAGCTAGTTATGTGCTTGTATTCTCTCATATAAAGAGAACCCGTGTAAACTTATGAATAGTGTGCTAATACAGAGAAAAAGTTTATTCTATATTTCTTCCTTTCAAGTTTATATGGTATCAGAGCCACCCTAAGGGAAAAAAAAAAAACCCTAATTTTCTTTTCTGCATAATTTCTTCGTTGATCAACCATGTCTGACGTTTCCTCCATATCAACCTCGCTTATCACAACCCAACCAACCAATCCAACAACCCAAACCCCCAGTACTGATTCTCACTCTGTTCAGATCACCAATATTTGCCTTAATGTGACAATTATTTACAGTGGTTCCAGTCCGTTCGGATGTACATCAGAGGGCGGGGAAAGATCGGGTACCTGACGAGAGACAAGAAGGCACCAGCATCGGAAGACCCAACATACGTGACCTGGGATGCAGAAAATTCAATGGTGATGACTTGGCTTGTGAACTCCATGGACGAGGATATTAGCTCCAACTATATATGCTACTCCACGGCTAAGGAGCTCTGGGATAACGTGAATCAAATGTACTCTGATTTGGGCAATCAGTCTCAGATCTACGAATTGACTCTAAAACTTGGTGAGATTCGGCAGGGAGAAGACTCGATCACCAAGTATTTCAATTCATTGAAGCGTTTTTGGCAGGACATGGATTTGTTCAATGATTATGAATGGAAATCCACTGAAGATGCCAATCACTACAAGCGAACCATAGAGGCTCATCGCATTTACAAATTCCTTGCTGGGCTCAACGTGGAATTTGATGAAGTACGAGGACGGATCATTGGCAGGACTTCACTTCCTCCAATTGGTGAAGTGTTTGCTGAGGTTCGAAGAGAAGAGAGCCGCAGACATGTAATGTTGGGGAAGAAGACTACCAGCGGACCTGTTGAGTTCTGCCCTTATTGTTGCAAAGACTGTTGCTAATAAAGTAGTCAATTTTTAGCGAAAAACTGAAGAGAAGCAACGGGTCTGGTGCGACATCTGCAACAAACCGCGCCATACTCGGGAGAACTGCTGGAAAATCCACGGAAAACCAACGAATTGGAAGAGTAGCAAGCCTGGTGACAGAAATAGGTGTGCGGTTCCTACTGCTAATGAAGCTGAGACAAGTCCCTTAAGCAAAGAGCAGATGGATCATCTTCTGAAGCTGCTGAAATTTAATTCCTCATCTGGTATTCCTAGTGTTTCTCTTGCACAAACAGGTAGTGCACTTAATGCTCTTTCTTGTTGTTTAAATTATACTCCATGGATCATCGATTATGGAGCCTCTGATCATATGACCAGCCTTTCCAATCTTTTTAGCACTTACTCACCATGTTCTGGCCTTGAAAAAATTAGAATTGCAGATGGTAATTTCTTACCTATTGCAGGAAAAGGTTTGATAAAATTATCCGAGAATATAAATCTTAAATCTGTTCTCCATGTCCCTAAACTAGCCTATAACCTTTTGTCTGTGAGCAAACTAACCCAAAGAATCTAATTGTCGTGTAATTTTCTATGATTCTTACTGTGAATTTTAGGACTGGAGCTCGGGGAAGAAGATTGGCAGTGTTAAGATAATAGATGGACTTTACTACTTTGATGGGGACTTCTCCAGTAATAAAAAGGCTCAGGGCCTTAGTAGTGTTAGTTCTAACTCTGTTTACGAACAAATAATGTTTTGACATTTAAGACTAGGACATCCTATCTTTTCATATCTTAAACAATTTTTTCCTGCTTTATTTGAAGGTTTGGATTATTCATCGTTCTATTGTGAGAGTTGTTGCTTATCTAAGAGTCATCATACTACTTGTTTGCCAAAACCTTATACTTCT